TATATATATATATTATTNTATNTATATATATATATATATATATATATATATATATATATATATATATATATATATATATATATATATATATATATATATATTTGCATATATGCGTGTATATATACAACGAGTACTATCCAAAGCCTGAGTCCCCTCCCTCTTCACATACTCACGCGTACACTCACGCTCTGTATCTTGATTAGATGGCCGGTATGAAAATCAGTTCTCAGAAGAACGCATACGTTCCTCCTCATCTCCGTAACTCTGGTGGTGGTGGTGGTGGTGGCGGCGGCGGCGGCGGCGGCGGCGGCGGCGGTTACAACCGCAATCAAGAGAGCAAGGACTCCCGCGGCGGCGGCGGTGGCTGGGGTGGTGGTGGTGGTGGTGGTGGTGGCTACAACAATGACCGCGGCGGTGGTCGCCAGGGTGGAGGTATGTGTGTGTGCCTGGTGTGAATTGGTGAGAGAGAGCGAGTCTGTGTTTTTTATATACCTTGGTTGGATAGGTCTATAGCTAGCATAAGTTTTGCGATAAGTACGTTTGTCTACGTATGGTGCAGGTTCTCGCATTATTGTCGATGCCACTATCAGTACCACCAAATCCGAGTAAAGGCCGACATACAGGTCACACGCAAGTGTCAGAGACTCTCTCATGGGGCCAGATCATGAGGGTTCCGTGTCGGCAGGCTGTTAGTTCACTAACGGTCGCGCGTACGGACTATATTCGGCAATAAACATCACCATCGAGTGATATTCAACGCGCGAGGTTCATGTTCTATATGTAGCGATTGAACTATGTGCAAGTAGTGTTTTTGTTGGAACGGTTTGTTTGGCGTGGCTTAATTGGTTTTTATATTTATATTTTCTGATTCTCGTTTGTGTTGTAATTTTTACGAACAATTTCTATCAGTAAGTAGTATCTCGCGGGTTTGTTGATCTGGGTTATCTGTTGCAGGTTATGGTTACGGCGATCGTAGTTACGGTGAGTACTACTTGCTCGACGAGTTGGTGAGATTCGTTATTGTACACACACACATATATATACACATATATATGTGCGTATATTCCGTTTCTCGTTTATGTTGTCATTTTTGCGAACTAGTCTTGTCAGTATGTATTATCTGAAGAGGTTGTTTATCTGAATTGTCTATTGCGAGTTATTGCGATCGTAGTGACGGTGAGTACTGCTTGGTCGACGAATTCGTGAGATTAGATATTATAAATTTATATTCTGTTTCTTATTGTGTTGTAATTTTTACGAACAGTTTCTATCAGTAAGTAGTATCTCACCGGGTTGTTGATCTGAATTATCTGTTGCAGGTTATTGTTACGGCGATCGTAGTTACGGTGAGTACTAACATGTCGGACGAAATTCGATGAGGGTTGCACCTACTACGTTTTTCAATGAATGCTAATTTGATTTTTATGAGAACTATTCATATATATATATATGTATATATTCTTTTGTAACGAATTTTGCGCGGACTATTTTTTTAAGTAATATTGTTTTAGAATCTTACCGATTTGTTGATATGAATTATCTATCGCAGGTTATGGAAACGATCGTGGTTACGGTGGCCGATCAGGAGGTACGGTATCACTTTAACGTGTCATCTGTGACTTGTTCGATGAATCTTATATTCACACACTGCTTATATTCACGCATTCTTTAATCTTTTTTTTTCCTCTCGCAAATCGACAGATGTATTTTTCTTCTTCATTCAATTGTACTATCACACTACCGTCATCCGAGTGTCCAGTGAATTAATGATCAAATCACTTGCGCGTATTATGCGCTACGCTGAGTCTGACTCTTCCTACACTCACGTTAAAAACCAGGCTACGACAACCGCGGATACGGTGGTGGTGGCGACAACCGAGGATACGGCAGTGGTGGCAACCGCAGCTATGGCGGCGGTGGTGGTCGTGGGGGAGGGTCCACCAAAGAGTGGTCGCATGTCGAGAAGCGCAATGACGCTACCGAACTCGCTCTCTTCGGAGTGCCCACTACAGGAATCAATTTCGACAATTACGATGACATCCCCGTCGAAGCCACCGGCAACGACCCCCCCGAGGGTATGTATGTGCGGGTTGCAATGGGATTCTGTTCTTTGCGTTGTTCACCCATTGTGGATGAACATTTATCTGTGGCTGGTGCGGTGTATTGTCATAGGCGGTGTGGTGGCACACGATACACATCTGCTCCATCGATAGAATCTATCATATATCAGTTGCGATACCAACAGTACTAGCGGAAGGTCGTCGGTTGGCTGTCGTAAACCACCTCATCATCTTGTACATATACAACTCGTGACAAGCTTGTCCAACTGGCTCACTAACATTGTTCTTTCTGAGTTCATTGCGTCTCGTTTTCATTTCGCATACTCTATTTTGGCATGTTTCAGCAAAGTCGCTTATTCTCTTTATTACGTCTTCCATAGGTATCAAGTCTTTCGAAGAGGGAGGTCTTGAAGAAGTCATCCTCGAGAATGTGCTCATGGCACGCTACACCAAACCAACACCCGTGCAAAAGCACTCTATTCCCATTGTCTGTGGTGGACGTGATCTGATGGCGTGTGCCCAGACAGGTTCAGGAAAGACCGCAGCGTTCTTGGTATGTGTTTGGAAGTCTTACCACCGTTGTCGTTGCCACGATAAGTAAGCTGTTTTCCTTTTTAGTATCCATTGCAATGCGGACGATATAATATTAGATTGACTTATAGTACTTGTGTTTAATGGCTTCAGAATCGTGGATTCACTCTGTTTCTGGGTTCTTATTGTCACCTCTTCGTACTATCCTCTGTACCTCCTTTAATACCGTAGGTCCCTACACTATCCAACATCTGGAAGTCCGGCCCCGCCCCCGCCGATGCCGGCCAGGGTGGCAACTACTCGCGCAGACCCAGACAGTTCCCCTCCGCTTTGGTCCTCTCCCCAACCCGTGAATTGGCGTCTCAGATCTTTGAGGAGTCGAAGAAGTTCTCCTACCGAACTCAGATGCGATGCTGTGTCGTCTACGGAGGAGCCGATGTGGGCCAGCAAATGCGTGAGCTGGATCGCGGGTGCCATGTGATTGTGGCCACCCCCGGTCGTTTGGTCGATATGATTGAACGTGGCAAGATTGCTCTGGGTATGTGTGTGGGTGGATGTTGTACCTGTAATTGTATAGGTGGGGAGTATTTGAGACTTGATTGATATGTGGTGTGCTGTGTCTGATGCAGGGCCGAGGTTGTGAGTTTGGTGTATGTAATATGGCTGGGGGATATAATCTTGCGGCGCCGCCCTAATGGCGGCATTTTGAGAAATCATGTCTCTGCCTGTATAGACGATATGTATACAATTTCACACATAATCATCACACACGCTCCTAGAGGTCGTCGGAGTCACAGCTAATTGACATGCTTTGTACTCGGATCGGGACGAAGCAGTGTTCGTCGCCTTGCGTGGGAGTAGTGTATGTACTAGTCATCTGGTGTTGATATTTTCGTTACGGATGTTGCACGTGGATATTGTGCCTGAGGCTATCATGTGTCGTATCTCCATCGTTACTAGATTCGGGGTTTTCGGAAGTACTATCTTTAGCTTTTAAGATCTAACTCCTTTGACTGGGAGTATCCGTTGCTTTATGGCTTACATTCGTTGCTTCATGTCTCGTATTCTACAGACTACTGTCGCTTCTTGATTCTGGATGAGGCCGATCGCATGTTGGATATGGGTTTTGAGCCCCAAATTCGTCGTATCGTCGAGTGCGAGGGTATGCCCGGCAAGCAAGATCGTCAGACACTGATGTTCAGCGCTACCTTTCCCAAGGAGATCCAGATGCTTGCACGTGATTTCCTTGAAGATTACATCTATCTGGTTGTCGGACGTGTTGGTTCCACTTCCGAAAACATCACACAGGTACCGTCTACTGCACTATGGACTGAGATATACGGGCCGCGTGCTATTTCACGTTGCGAACTTGGGTGATATAACCGGGCCACTATACGTGTGTTTGCTTGTTTTTTCCGTCACAAACACTATTCGGATTCTTACTTGCACGATAAATCTTCTCACCCTAAATCCACAGCGTATGCACTTCCTCATGGAGCAAGACAAGCGTGACACCCTCCTCGATCTGCTTGCCACAGAGGCTGATCAGGGCGAACTCGGCCTCACCCTTGTGTTCGTCGAGACCAAGCGTGGTGCCGACGCCCTAGAGGACTTCCTATTGCGCAACCGCTTCGAATGCTCCAGTATCCATGGAGACCGTTCGCAAAGAGAAAGAGAAGACGCGCTCAAGGCCTTCCGATCCGGCCGCGCGCCCATCTTGGTGGCCACCGCTGTGGCTGCGCGTGGGTTGGATATCCCCAATGTCACGCACGTGGTGAACTACGACTTGCCGACCGACATTGACGAGTATGTGGATGAGGTGTAAACACGTGTATTTAGATTGGATGTGAATACATACGTTTAGTAGATGTGAATACATGCATTTAGAATAGATGTAAACACGTGCATCTAGATTAGATGTATACACCTGCATTTAGAATATATGTAAACACGTGCATTCAGATGAATTATATATAAATACATACATGTATATAGATTAGATGTTAAAAATGTATCAGGTTTAGATGTAAACACATGTATTGTCGCTGTGAATGCTATGCATATCGTTTTGTTACTATTGGCGACCGTCCAGATTCTTTACAAGGATAGTCACCCTTTGTTATCAGTCTATCTGTACGCGTCATATGTCCCCTACCAATGGCATGTGCAGTCTGTCTGTGACGCCGAGTTTCCTTTCCTGTATAACATAGTCTTGACCGTCTTCTCAATCTCATCAATCGATCCTTTCCTTCCATTCATTCAGGTATGTCCACCGTATCGGACGTACCGGCCGTGTCGGTAACCTGGGTGTCGCCACCTCTCTCTTCACCGAGAAGAACCGCAACATCGCAGGCCGCCTAGTCGAGCTACTCAGCGAAGCCAACCAGGAAGTACCCACATGGATGGAACAGATGGCCCGAGGCTCGGGCCGCAGCTACGGAGGGGGTCGTGGCGGTCGATCCACCAACAAGGATTTCCGATCGGACTTTGACAATTCCAGCCGTAACACCGGTGGAGGGGGTGGTCGCTCGGGTGGGGGTGGCGGCCGCTCGGGTGGTGGTAACAAGGGCAACTTCGGGGGGGGTGGTGACCCCTGGGGCTCGGGTGGTGGCTCGTATGGCGGCAACTACGGTGGTGGAGGGTCTGACCAGTGGTGGTAGGAGGCCGGTCTTGGCTGAGTGTTGCCGTGTAAATTAGAAATTAGGTGGTTGGGAGATATTGGCCTAGAAGCGAGGCAGGTGGTTGTATGGGGGTTTTATGAAGCCTTTAATCGGTGGCTGGTTAGGTCTAGAACCTACAGACGCTATACTTCTACTGCCTGTGGTGTGGGTTGTATGGTGGTGTGCTTTTGTCACGCTGAAGTATTATATCTTCTAAATACACACCCCCGGCCTTCGTTGGGATCCACGGCATCCCGGAACATCATGTTCCGTTCTTTATATTATGTACACAGGGTCTGTGAACCAACGTGCACGTCAGTCTATCTCTGGATTGGCATGGTGCATGTTTGTATGGTGGTATGGACCTCATTTTACACACACCTCTGTTTCATACTGTAAGACGAAACGGTCGCGTATTTGGAGAGGTTTGTGCTATATATTAAATCAGATCACAACTATGAAACTCCGAACCGATGAGCCGCAACTACAATAAGCATCACGACTGTGATCAACGAAATCCGTGTTACGTATCTTGACGATCGCCTTTGCAAACGTAGAGAGTGTCTTGTGGACCATGACACCGACAATCTATGCAGAGCGAAGGAGAGAAGTCGTAATATTGAATTTGGTCTTTTGGGCGCAGTTTCTCAGTTTGGGAGGATCCATTACAGTTCTCATTGGCATGTCATGACAATCGAAATGGACACTCGCAACGGGGATGGGCATACTGAGGTTGCCAGGATTAGAAACTGAGAGGGGAGCACCGTTTGTACACATGCATACATATGCGCGCTAGTGCAGTCGCACAAGGGCACGCACGGTGGTTCCTACAGGTGGTTTTGGATTGGGAAGCAAATATTAATAGATTAGGCTCGGATATCAGCACAGTCCATCGGATAGGCTAGAAGAATTTTCGCAGCGATACTAGACTCGACGCGGAGATTAAGCGCTGAATTGAATAAATTGTAAACTGAATCTGTACACGGTTTGTGGTATCGTTTGGTGTATGTATATTGGGTTAGACATGATCGGAACTGTATCCATGCTGTGCTTATTATTGCAAGAGAAGTGGATAATGGGCATGGTTGTATAATCAATGTCGTTTTTTTTGTAGCCTTGTTCGAGTGTTTCTGTCTAGGTTAGTTATGTAACTCGAGTTCAGATACAACTAGCTACGATGGAAAGTTTCTAGAACGATTGTAGCACTCGTCGCGATTGCACATAAAGTACAGCACAGTATAATTTCACCGAATAGGGAACAATGTACAAAGTTTGTACCAAAGTGAGTAGTAAAGTTTTAGAATGACGCAATTACGAGGTATTTATCGCTAGTGCTGTGAAAAGCTATTTCAATCAGAAGAATAGGCATAAGCTAATTATTGTGTGCTTCTGAGAGTGGGTTGTATGTGTGTGGGTCATATGAAAGACAAGTAAAAAGATAAATAAGCAAGCTTACCGGAGGAATGACTTTTTGACTCCATCAAAGAGCATAAGTTTGGAACGGCTGGTTTGTAATAATTGATTTAGTCTGATTTGTATCGCTTGATAAGTTTATTGTGCTGAATGCGTTTGTGTTAACAAGCCTGCTACCAATCGATACATGCAATGAGTTTTAGCCGTTTTTAACTATATTTTCTCGTCACTTGCTGCGTCGTTCAAGTGCTCTGCGAAACACAATGAGGCATTCGTGCCACCGAATCCGAACGAATTGGACAGTACGGCACGCACTGCTCTCTCTTTCGGCTGACCTGCAACCAGGTCGAGGTTGTACTTGGCAATCTCGGGGTCCACTGTCTCCAGATTTAGGGTTTGGGGTATTTTGCCCTGTAGATGGGAGAAATGCCCTAGAGTTAGATTGAAAGTCAGTACAATCACGTGTCGTCTTTGTGTGGGTACGTTTTCACTTCCCGTTCTTGGAACAATAGCATTCCTGTTCGAATGCAAGAACCAATTTTAATTGTTGTTTCGAAAACCACTGGATGAGAAGCAAGTATAGGCCATGTACAGCGTAGTTCACTCCCTGTATTATATCGAAAGACTGTATAGTACATGTTGTACAATTGTATATTACATGTTATCGAAAAATTGTATAGTATATGCAAACACAGACACGAGGCACTGTTGCATGTGAAAAAACAGATTACCAGACACGAACATACACATACCATTGTAGTGCATGTATTTAGTATGCTACTGGATATAGGTAATTGGAAAATACACAAGTGACGCGAAGCCATAACGATATCCATTTATTCGCGCAGACTACAGACTCAGACAATGATCGAAAGGAAGCTCTACAAATGTATAGCCGAACTATAGCCAGGCCGTACTTCGGCAGTCACGTGCTATATATATATATATATATTATAAATATATATACATGTATATGTACATACACACACAAATATATATATATATATATATACATATATAGATATATAGATATATAGATATAGATATATATATATATGCATTTATATATATATATATATATATATATATATATATATATATATATATATATATATATGTATCTTGTAATAATGACAGGGGCGAAGAACGCTCTTGCACTAGACATTGAATTGGGTATGTATGGTGCACGACAGAGCCGCACTCAACTCAAACGATGAAATATATATATACTATATATTACGATGCATATTTTTATAGTAAAATAAATACCACCAGCACATATTTTCGAGTTGCGTCTATATAGCGCATTCTCAGACGATCTAGGCCAGCGTTACACTGATCGTGCGTGAAACATCGACATTTTTCATCATTGTAGTCACCATTGCCAAGCATATGAGAAAGCAAGAATAGTACATCAACATGCCAATTACATCTACGACAACACAAAAGATATAGAAGCGCGTGCAAGATTACATTTTCTATGCTTAGAACGGCGAATATACTCTCGACCGCACCCGCGGCTCCCAGCAGATGACCTGTTGCGCCCTGTCGGGTTCGGAAGATTTGTATAGAGAACAATGATACGATATCAGTATGGGACACTATTTGATCTACAAATTGTGATAGATCCATCGTAACCAAACGAATGCGCTACAGGGAAGGACATCCGCGCAGGTCGGTGTGTGTAGACGAGAGTAGCGCGCCAAAGTAAAACTCATTTGTTTACGCTTTCATGACGTAAGCACACACACGCACAGGCTACAGCTACCAATTTAATAGCAAGCAAAGTGTTTGATGTCTACTCCGACCAACTAATTATATCTACCTAGGTGGTAAGTACAGAAGCAATGCTACGCATCGGTACACTAGGACACTCTCAGAAGTGAACAACGATTCAGATCTCAAGTGCCACTGTTTTCGCCACTGTAATGGGTACATTCATGCGCTTGTGCATAGCGACAGGTATATATATATGTATATATATATATGTGTGTGTGTGGGTGCGTGTATATATATTCGCGTATGAGTGGACTCCTGTGCGTGGCTACCCACTTAGCTGTCGCGAGGCGAGCAAAGATGTACTCAAGTGTTCACAAAGATGGATACATCGCGAAGAAAGACCATAACTGTGCACATACTCCTAGATCGAATTGTATGATCTAGTTGTTTCGCACGAAGAACAACAGATATACTGACTGTTTACTAGAATATACTACAACATTACTACTTATTCTAACAAACATACCTTTGTGGACGATACAGATATGTTCGGAGCATGGTCCCCAAAAACAGAACTGATAGCCATCGCCTCGAGGGTATCACCTGGGTAGATACGGACACACAGAAGCAAATATCTCATTTAACATTTATTGTGGATTACCGAAAGACCCTCAATCTACCATGGATCTTTGGAATACCGCCCAGAAACGAATTGAAGAGAGGAAGAAATGAAGATTACGTGTTCACAGGCGTCAAATCGAGTTGATATTGAACCTATAACACCACGCTAGCCGTATCTAAGGTTTTATACCCGAGTGTACTCCTTATTGATCTCTTGCTACACATGTCAGAGAGGACGGTATTTATAAGAAACTGACCTCGAACAAAATAGAGCGACATACGAATCTTTCCCATATAGACTTCAAGTGGCTGTCTTTTGCTAACGGATCGAACTGCCAGACGTAGGCCATTGATCATGTTTATGCACAACCCACAGGTGACCGTTCCAATCCGCCACACTACAGCTCTTACGCACACACACACGCGTATGAGCTCTCTGTCCTCTCACACACCCATAGGTGTCGATAGACATGCACCACACCACAGCCATTTACACACTCGTAGACACGTGGGAGTCTCTTTCGTTGATACATAGATGTTGACACATATGCATCACCAGGCAGCTATTACGCCCTAATTCACTCGTATAAGCCCTCTCCGCTAATCCATATATGTCGATACACATGCATCACAAGACAGCCATTTACGCACTCGTTCACGCGTATGAACCCCCTCCACATACCCATAGGTGTCGACGTCGCATGTGCGTTGATATAGTCAAACTGATCCTTCCTTAGCCCACTCATGCGTATGGCCAGTTCCATAGACGTCTTCGCACCGGTGGCTTCAGGTGAGGGTGCTGTCAAGTGATGGGCATCTCCACTGGATCCGTACCCTCGCATCTCTGCGTATATCTTGGCACCCCTTTGGATGGCGTGTTCTCGCTCTTCGAGTACCATTATACCTGAGCGTAAACGCGCAAGTGTGTGGATTGAGTTTTAGTTTTGTAGGATGCCCATGGAGTGCACAGAATTGTGGACGTGCACATGTAGCATGTGGGTGAGAGATTGTAAGATGACCATAGAGAATTCGAATACCGTTCTAAATGAGAGTGTACCTGGGTATCTGGATCACGATAGGGTACGAATAGAGAGAATGAGTATCGTTCCAACCAAACGCGTACAAAATAAATGAATAAGAATTTGCCAGATGCCAAAGTGAATTTGTTTCTTTATCGAGCCTGTGCATAAATACGTGGATGAGCATTCGTAAAATTAATAAACCTTGGACCCTCAAATAAATCACCGCGAATTTGCATGCCTCGGATTGAGTCTATGGAGATACCAACACTCCCAACTGTCAAATATAGGTCGTCTAGGTTGACATCCATCCACCCTCCACCTACTACGTACTAGCCGGAGTAACTTGTGCTATTGCGGAAAAATCAACATGTAACGATTGCCACTTGATCCTTTTATATGAACCAGTGCACAACGTATCGCCCTAGACATGTCTATACCCATTCCCAAAGCAAATTTGTACACACATAAACTCTCGGCAATCGATGTGTATTTGGAGGGCAAGCACCAAGATAAACAAGGCAAGTAAATGCACACATTTGTTGTTATACGGGCAGAGACCCTATTCGTGCTGTCGCGCTTAGCAATATTTGCATACAGTCATTTGTTTCCATTGAAGTGTCCCTGTGAATCGTTTCATATGTACAAAAACATATTGTCATGTGCACACATAACTTAATGTACGCACAAATAGTTTAGTACATATCTATACATATAACTGTATAGCATGCCACACCTGCACATTTGCCGATTAACAACATCACTACTGCCCACGGTGAAGGGCCGACCGGCCTGTTCTGGTTGCTTGTTGCAGTTCGAAGTATGCACGCATTCATATGTATTTCTTTAAGTATGTGTACGCATATATTTATTATTATATGAAGCCGCTGTGTATTTTTTACGCAAGTAAACATTTCTACATATACATATCCATATCCATATCCATATCCATATCCATATACATATACATATACATACAAAAACATATCTATCTATATATATATATATATATATATTCATATGACATGTCACATTGTTGCCTTCTCCTAGGATAGACCCATTCCTGCCCGCACTAAAGAACCGGGTGGCTTGTTCTGGCTGTTCGTTATATTTGTAGCCTGTATACATCTATTTTTTGTGATATAATGCCATTGATTACTAAGTGTGTACACATAAACTATCAATATGCGACGACGCAGTATATTTCTACGCATATACACACATATATTTTCATACGACATGCCACACCTGCCCCTTCGCCGATGACGAACCCATCCCTGCCCGCACTGAAGGGCCGGCTGGCTTGTTCTGGTTGGTCGTTGTACTTCGTAGAGAGTGCCTTGATCCGTGCGAAACCTGCAACACTCACGGCTGATACACACGACTCCACACCTCCTGCAACCATCACATCTGCATTTCCGTTCTTGATGTGCTGAGGGGCGGGTAGTGTGGAGGATGGATATACGTATATGAATATGGGTATATGTATATGAATATGGGTATGACAAGTGTCTATACATATAGGTAACGATAGGCCCTTAGGTGCTATATATATATATATATATATATATATATATATATATATATATATATATATATATATATATATATGTGTAGTGTAGTAGTGTAGT